AATCCACATCTTTTCATTTTCTGTGGAAACAAAAATAGAAATCCTTTTCCCCAGTAACTTGTCCTTCAACTTAAATTTTGGAGTCAAAGCATTTTTTTTAATTTAATTTATTATTTTACATGTCGATCCCAGTTCCCTCTCCCTCCCTCCCTCCCTTCCCCCAGCCCTCCCTCTCTCCTTCCCTCCCTTTTACCCTCTCTGCCCTCTCACATGCACTCTAACCACCATCCCCTCCCATCCTCCCACCCCAATTTCATATGTTGGGGAATGCCATCCAGTTGGGGTCATGTAGATCTGACAGGTCCTGTGAAGTAGGGACTAGGGCTTCTCTCCTGTCTCTAGATTAAGGCAGTTATCCCTCCATGGGGGATGTTTGCAAAGTCCTTTTGTGCACCAGGGATACATCCTGGCTCCACTGTCTGAGGTCTCTTAGACTGCTCAGACCTTCTGGCTGAGACCCATATTCAGGGGGGCCCAAGTCAGTCCCCTGATGGCTTCCCAGCTCTCAGTCTAGTGGCTGTTAGCTCCTCCTTGTTCAGGTAAGCTGTCTCTATGTGCTTCTGCCGCGTGGTCTTGTCCTCTGCATCTTCTTCTGGGTTCTAGTTCGACTCAGTGTTTATGTATAGGTGTTTGCTCCTATTTTCAACAGGTATTAGTTGAGGGCTCCATGGAGAAGTTAGTTGTTGATCTCACTCTCCGGGAAGGGCATTTATGATAGCCTTTCCACGGAAGCTGAGATTGTTAGTTGGGAGTAGTCTTGTAGTTCTCTCGACCTTTCTTTGTGTTCAATTTTATCTTCAAACCAATATTGGCTCCCTCTTTTATGTTCTCTCTCTCTGTCTCTGTCTCTGTCTCTCTCTCTTTCCTATCTTCTATTCCTAACCAGGCTCAATCTTCCTGGTCGCACAGGTTTTCCTTTCCTCCCCCTCGTTTTCTCCTACTTCTCTCTCCATTAGCTGTCCTCCCCCACTTCACCTGAGCTCTGGGGGACTTGTCCATTCCCAGTTCTGTGAGGGACTTTATATGAATCTCTTAGAATACACCTTGTATCCTAGTTCGTCTGGTGATGTGAATTATAGGCTGGTGATCATTTGATCTAGGTCTAAAATCCATATATGAGTGAGTACATACTGTGTTCCTCTTTTTGTGACTGGGTTACCTCATTCAGGATGGTTTCTTCAAGTGCCATCCACTTGCCTGCAAATTTCAAGATACCATTATTTTTTTCTGCAGAGTAGTATTCCATTGTGTAGATGTGCCACATCTTCATTAACCATTCTTCAATTGAGGGGCATCTAGGTTGCTTCCAGGTTCTTGCTATTACGAATAGTGCTGCTATGAACATAGTTGAACAGATGTCTTTGTTGCATGGATGTGAATCCTTTGGGTATATGCCTAAGGGGGGATTTCCGGGTCCTGTGGTAAACTAATTCCCATTTTCCTAAGGAACCGCCATACTGATCTCCAAAATGGCTGTATGAGTTTGCACTCCCACCAGCAGTGGAGGAGTGTTCCACTTTCTCCACATCCTCTCCAATATGAGTCATCACTGGTGTTTCTAATTTTAGCCATTCTGGCAGGGGTAAGATGATATCTCAAAGTTGTTTTGATTTGCATTTCCCTGATAGCTAAGGATGTGGAGCATTTTCTTAAGTGTCTTTCAGCCTTTTTGATTTCCTCCATTGAGAATTCTTTCTTCAGTTCTGTACCCCATTTTTTTAATAGGGTTATTTGATGTTTTGTTGACTAGTTTCTTGAGTTCTTTGTGTATTTTGGAGATCAGCCCTTTGTCGGATATAGGGTTGGTGAAAATCTTTTCCCAGTCTGTGGGCTGCCATTTGGTCTTGTCGACTGTGTCTTTTGCCTTACAGAAGCTTCTAAGTTTGAAGAGGTCCCATTTATTAATTGTTTCTTTCAGTGTCTGTGCCCCTGGAGTTATGTTCAAGAAGTGGTCTCCTATCCCAATTTGTTCAAGGGTACCTCCTACTTTCTCTTCTAAGAGGTTCAATGTGGCTGGATTGATGTTGAGGTCTTTGATCCATTTGGACTTGAGTTTTGTGCATAGGGACAGACATGGGTCTATCTGCAGTCTTCTACACACCCTCATCCAATTGTGCCAGCACCATTTGTTGAAGATGCTGTCCTTGCCCCATTGTATAATTTTAGCTGTTTTGTAGAAAATCAGCTGTTCATAGGTGTGTGGATTAATATCAGGATTTACAATTCGATTCCATTGGTCTACCTATCTATTTTTATGCCAATACCCCTACTGGCCATTTTTAATCTAAATATGTGTATATTAAATTTTTACTTTAGTTTTCAACAAACTTGCTTTCAAAAAATCATGTTTTATTAATTACCTTTTCCTATGTCATTGACTTGCTGGTATCTTATTAATACTTTGTTATATTTTTCATGTGTTCACTGGATTTTTAACTCCCTGTAATTAATACATAATAGGTATTTAAATTAACTAAAATATTCATAATAACTTATTTTTTATACCAAGATAATTAAATGATCACTTGGTAGCTATAACAGCATTTATGTCATTTTTATTTGTTACTGATTTACTATTGCTTGGTAATCTGATATTGCTGAAAACTGTGTAACTCATATTATTCAAATTCACTCAGTTTTATTGACTTACAATCATAGTTTCTCATACAGTTTCTCAGATTTAATTTGAGATTTTTCTAATTGTTGAGACTGTATTTTGTGCCTAAAAGAAAGACTTCTATGTCCTGTAGTGAAAGTATACACAAGGACAGAGCACACGGTGAAATTGTAAGCCAAGCTGGCTTTTTGATAACAACTTTTTCAAATGGGTACTAGGTGGGATTCCTATAGAATCTCACTACCCACTTCCAAGGGCTACTTGACAACAATTACTGAAAAATTGCCAGTATAAGGTGCAAGACATCAAAGCTATGGCTTTCACAGCTGTGTTTAAATCTGGCTGGAGTAAGGGATCCACAGGGCCAGACACTGTCAGCAAAACAAATATTTATCAAGAGATGGTTGGGGAGTCAGAGGCACCAGCCACCTATTTGACACTGAGTTGGGTTGTGGCCAGCCCCATTTATCATCTGTAACTACTTTCAAGCTGTAGTGGGCACTCATGTAATTATGACTAACACAACAAGATTTTGAAAGAAGGAACTACTTGTTGCACTGCCCTTGGTAAAACATGACTCTGGTTTGTACAGGAGTGACAGCATGCCCACTGTATCTTCCTCTTTCATGCTGTTAAGAACTTGACTCACCACTCTGGAAACATACTGCTAGGTGTGCATGTCCTTGCTCAGGTGCTTTCCATAATGTCACACTACTTCAGTCCTCACTCATAGCTACCATCTGCCCATTTTTAAAGATGGGATCAGAATAACACTTTCCTATAAAGGCTTACAATATAGAAAGAAAACACCCCATGCATATTGTTCCACAGCCTTTACTACATTCAGGCTCCCTACTCCACTCTGGTCTGTTCTTACAAAACCTGCATATTTGTCATGCACAGTTTTAAATTCAGTTTCTTTGCCTGTTTGAAATTGTCACTTGCAGATTACCATGCCTAGAGCATACACAGATATAGGAAACTCTTATTACTGGTGAACTGGAAAGTCATGGTCCTTGGTAAAAAAGACTACAGTCAGAACACTGTCCCAGATAACGAACAACAGGAGACTAAAGGAAAAGATAATGGAGCATTATTGAGGTGTAAGTCAGAAAGTAAAGACTAAGCACACAAAGGTGGATGAAGGCTGACTTTGAAGATGTAGCTGCCTCTGGAGTCTTTACTGCTTATCCATCCTGAGTTCAGGTGACTAGGCTTTGGGGGCAAATATCAGCCATAGGTTTAAACAAGGCACAGCGCTTCTGGTCCTTGCACATGCAAGCTTACTACATGAGTCCCTGCTGGAAAGAGACGTATAATGCCAGAGCCACATGGAACATAGGGTCAAGACTGCACAGAAGCCCGGCATTGCCCACACACCTCTAGTATCTTGTTTTATGCCCCTGATGCATGTTAGTTTTTTTCCCCTTTAAAAATTGTACATATACAGGATGATAAGATGGCTCGGTAGGTGATGGTACCTGCTGTCAAGCCTGATGACTTAAAGTTTGATCCCAGAAACCCATTGGGTCTCCCACAATTTTTCTCTGACTTCTACACATGCGTTATGGCATGTGCATAGTGCACACACACACACACACACACACACACACACACACATAATAGCACACACAGATGCACACTCACAGGCAGATACAAAGACACACAGTCATACAAATAATCACACACACACACACACACACAGTAGAAATAAGGGTAATATTCTGCACATGATTTACAGCAAATATTTACACATTAGAAAACATCTTAAAAGTGTAAAAATTAAGATAATTAATTGAGATAAATTGTACCAGCAAAGCAAAAGATAATTTATGTAGTTTAGGAGGACTGTCCATATTTGAAATATTTTGAGATTGAATATTTTAATGAAATTGAGTTGAATGGGATTGTTTAAAATCACATGTTCCTCCACTTCGAGTCAGAAAAAATTACAATTCTGCTATTTAGGGATTTGACAAATGGCGTTCCAATGAATTATTTTGAAGAGCAAACCTAAGACATCTATTTGAAGCCTGCAGATGTAACTGTTGCTGTAAAATAGATCATTCATTGGTGGTTATTTGAGTCTGTGTATTTAGATGCCTCTAACTGTAATTGATACGGTGCTGAGGTCTGTTAGATCCAAGACATAGTGAGAAAGGAATGCTCTGTTCTTTGCATTCAGCAAAGTTGGTAGTCATCAGGTCTTATTGGTTTCCCAAATGCTCTCAGGAGTGTTTGATGTAATGGTTCATGTTTTAGGGAGCATGTGGGGTACTCTTTGGAAAGCTGATGCTCCGTATACAAAAGGTCTTTTCCTGCCTGCCTCTGACTTGCCCACTTGTGGTTTTGAATGTCATGCTTTACCCTGGTTGTGTTCCAGGAGGTGTTCTGGATGGATAGCTGCTGGAAGCCCATCGCCATAGCCAGCTCTTCAACACTTAAGCATTTACCTGGGCATTAAGTAATGAAAATTTTGGTAAGGAAAAAGCAGACAAAAATAGCATATTGCTTTTCTTATAAAGTCACCTTAATCTCGGCTATATTTTATAATAAGATGCATGATTATTCTCTAAACACCTATGGCTATGACCGACATCTGTTTCCCAAGTTTTGTCTTAAATTTATAGATAGGTGGTGTGGGTTTTTGTAAATAAGACTAACGTTCTCTCTGTGCCATCTGTAATGCATTATTTTACTTAGCTCAGTCTCCCTTGGTCTCTAAATGTCTACATACCACACAAATTATGCCTCTGAGGGCAAGGTCTGGCATTAGCATCTTTTCAGCAGAGACTAAATAGAACACACACTTCTAGTGGTTGAGGAATTGTATGACATTTTTCTCTGTAACTACAAAAGTTTTGAAAACACTAAAGAGTCAGGTCAAAGAGTCAAGTCCGGATCTGTCTCAGACAAATAATGTTCTAAATAACCAGGAAAAGTTGCTATGTCATGGCTGATAGAACAGGAAAGGACAGACTCTCTCTCTCTCTCTCTCTCTCTCTCTCTCTCTCTCTCTCTCTCTCTCTCTCTCTCTCTCTCTCCTCTCTCTTTTGAGACAGAGTCTTGCCACTACTTAGTTCTGGGTAGCCTGGAATTCACCATGTAGAGCAGGCTCAACCTCACAAAGTTTCACTTGCCTCTGACTTTCTAGTGCCAGAGATTGATGGCATGCACTATCATGCACAAATACCTTTACTAGTTTCATTTTTATCCTGTTTTTCTCCATGTGATAGTAATGTATTTAATTTCCACATACTCACATGAAATTAATGTTCAGTTGGTTGCTTGCTATTGTTTAACATTACTAATCTGTGCTGTATGTAATATGTAGTCTATTAAAAAGGAGGGAGGGTGAAGGGAAGTCAATGATGACAGAAAGAGCTGACTGGTCCTAAGGATATGTGTGTCACTTGCTAAATATGTCAGTTTACCATTGTCGTTCAACTGAAGATGTGTCTACTGGACAGTTTTGTGCATTGAGACAGTTGTAGATCAGAATAAAACAAAACAGAAGATTCACTGAAATTTCACTGTTTCTGATAAAGAATGTTGATTGTGAAAGGACACCTAAAAAAAACCAAAATGCACTCTTACATGTTTTTAACTAGAGATATTTTATCATATTATTCATGATTATGTTTTTCAGAAACCATATATGAGGAATACATCCATCTCGTGCTACTTGTGTTTCCTTCTGAACAGTCATTTTTTAACTGAGGCTGGCATTCATGTCTTCATTTTGGGGTAATTTTATCTTTAATTAAAACTGTTATATGTTAATGGCCATGGTCATTTGTCTTTGAATTTCTTCCTGTTGAGACTGCACTATGCTCCTTGTGTGTAGGACATGCAGGCAACTGTGGAGATGCCTGCATGATGACAAACTGTGGATTCTACACATTGGCAGTATTCTATTCTCCACAGCAATTGGGCTTCTTGCTATAAGTATCCCATTTATTGATGTCATGAGTGTACACTGTTCTCATTAGGCAGATTGCCATTGACTGACGTGCTTTGTCCATGACCCTTCTGAGAATAACTGTTTTTCCTGAAGCTTCAAGAACCACTCCACAGCCACTTAATCAATGTGTCTTTTATTCTGGATGTTACATTTCAGTTTTAACCAAAGTGAACAAATTTGCGATCATCCATCTTATATTTAGTTAGGTCTTCAGTGATTCTGTGAAGATCATGAAAGAGGCATTTAACATACTGAAAGGGACAATTATTCTCACAGTTGTCACCTGATAAAGACTAACCCTAAAAGTCTCACAGAAACTGTACTTCAAGAAAACTAATAATTCAGGAACATTAATTGAGCATACTAAACATCAGATGTTATTCCAGTTTCATTGTGATAAACTGCATGTGATTACTTACAAATTATCTAATTAGCTTTTCTCTAATCCTCAAGGGTGGACTACCCTCCTTGAATTAGCTCAGAGTACCAAAGTTGTACCATATACTTGATGTTTCTATTCTGTCACTATGCTGTTGTTTGCACAGAGACAAAAACAGTCTGGGATCCGCGCCCCCCCCCCCGCCCCAGGGAGAATATAATGAACTTAGCTGTTCTCTTGTTTATGTACTCAGTCAGACAAAGCACCCTCTTTCAAAGTGTTTGTCTTGTGTTTTCTTTCAGCTGTGTCAGTGTAGGCCTCCCTAAAACAGAAGCCAACTGGAAAGATGTGATAAGTGATCTAAAATACATTCAGTCTCTTATCAAAGTGAGTACTGGACTTCCATTTCTTTTTGGTTAAAGTTTATATTTGGTAATTTGATATATTCATTTGTATAGTAGTTTTTACTCTGAGAATTTCATAAGTGAATATAGTGAACATATGAACATATCCATTTCCCTTTTCAGTCCTAAGACCTCATCTTCTATTTCCCCACCGTGTTCACACCCAACTTTGTATCGTTTTTTTTCTTTCTTGCTTTTATCAAGTCCAGTATGTACATGGCTGTGTAGTCATCCACGGGAAAATAAGAATGGGAACATCATCAAAAGAGAATAATTTTCCCTCCCCTAGGAGTTCTCAAGTACCAATAACTCCTTGTGTGTGTGTTTGGGGGGGGAAGCTCTCCTGTCATTTTGGTAGACTAGATCTTGTGCAGGTAACAAAGTACTATGTGTTCATGCACATGGTGGCCACATCACTTCCAAGGGACAGCATTTCACTGCACTCCTCTTCATGTTCTGGTCTTTACATTTGTATGCTTCCTTTACACTGGAGTTCCCTGAGTTTTGGTAGGATGAGGGCAGGGCTGGTATTTCAATTAGTGCAGCTCTCTTGGCAACACCTTGCCTCAACACTGATTGTTTCCCACTGAAAGACGTTTCTGTGACCAAGGCTGATAGGATACCAGGTCTGTGGACACAACCATAAATATGTAGAAGGTAAGATGACAGAATGGTCATTAAGTAAATATTAGTACCAGGATCTACCCTCGGGTGTACGACCTCCCAGCCAAGGGCTTTTGATCAGGATTATAGTTCCAGGCATGAAGTTTCTGAAACCAATTAGTTATCCAAAACAGTCATGCCATTAGCCACATCTTGCATAGCTGGTTCATTACTGTGTTATGTAGGAGCTAATACTGGGTAAGATAATTGATGTTATTTTTCCCCTAGAAGAACATATGATGGCTATGAAGTATGCGTCTCATGTCTTCTTATAAGCTCCCATGAGATATCTTTTGAAATAATAATGCTTATGAAGAATGATGTGAAATTTCAAAGCCTCATAAAGCATTGCTTTCAAGTAAAACTTGTACCTTTATCATTGCTAAGAACCTGTAGCTAGACAGATCCTAGGTTCTAGTGAACTTATGTCTATTGTTCTGCTAACTGTGTAGCCTGAAAGTGACTTCTAATGACTTATCACTCTACCCATAGGTTAGTTCATCTCTTAACCCTCATCAGAGAAGCTTCTCTTTGCAGTAGATAGTGATAACACAGAATCTCACAACTGGTCAAGGTGCAAAGAGTGAGAGACTGTAGAATGCTCAGCTCTAAATGGGACATTTATATCATAACTATCTTCCCAAGACTTGATAATCTTTGTAGAAGAGGTATTGGAAAAATTGTAAGAGCCTGAGTCAGTAGACGACTACAAAGAAACAGTGGGTTCCCCCCCCCAATACAACAGGGAAGTTGGACATTTGATAGCAGCTGTGACAGCATATTCAAGATGTACATGAACTCAAGCCAAATAGAATCCCATCATGAACTGCAGAGGTTGACCTGAAGCTCACTCCTATCTGAGGACATATTAGCAATTAAACGTTGCTGAGAGAGGGAGAACAAGTTTTCTTTAAGGGTGATGCCCCCGTGGGATCATCTAGCTCAGGTGGAGGCCATACATCTAGGAGGAATACATGGGCAGCACTTCATGGACTTAAAAATGAAAAGACAATGACACAAAGATGGTTGGGAAGGGATGTGGACATGGGGGAGTTATAAGAATAATAAATATATATTTTTAAAAGTCTACAAAATTTTCAAGGAACCACTGAAGGATTAAAAAAGTAAGTGCATATCTAAGTAATGTAACCCGAGGAGCTCCATTCCTCACAAATCAGAAACTCATTTTCCTTATCTGGAAACATATTTCATGAAGGGGACCCAATGAGGCATTAATGTTAGAATGAAATATCTTTTCTGGGCATTATAGATAATCTTCTCTTGCCTAGAGGTACTAGATAGGATCAGTTTCTACTAAATATAGTCAAGAAAGCTCAGGAATACTATTCCAAATGACAGTACTAGAAGGTATGTTTTGTCCCTATTGGTAAGTGTCTTCCATTCTCAACCAAAGATGACAGAGAACCTGATCTGAAGAAGTGACCCTTACCACAATGAGTGAGGATCACAATGGAAGGCCATAGAGGTCCTGGAAACTGAGCTGCTATTAGAATCACAGCACACAGTGCAAGGCAGACTGTTGACAAAACATCTCAACAGGTGATTTACTGCATATTAAAACAGAATACTTAAGTAAGACAAGATGTTCCTAACATAACAGATACTATACCCAGATACAAGGAAAAATCATGAATTATATTAAAAAGAGGGAAGTCACAATCAAGACCATTGTTAGTCTTATATTAATATCAGGTAAAGTCAATATGATAGGAAAAATAGCTGCTAACTCCAGGAGCAACATTAATGACAAAAGAAGATTCATGAAGAAAAAACATTGATTCTTAATATATATGCACTAAGCAACAGAGTCTCAAAATTCCTAACTCACAAATTTAACAGTTCAAAGGAGAAACAGACAAATTTATGATTACAGATGTGTATTTCACTGTCTCCAGCCTAATAACCAGCTAAACTATTAAGTACAAATTCCAGAAAAATAGAAACCATGACAAAACCAACTAAACCAAATAATGGGATTTACTTTATGCATGAAGCATTATGTCCAACAGCATCAGAACAAACTCTTAAAAGTTCCCATTGGACATTTACCAACACTAAATATATCCTGAGACACAAAGTCAGGTTCTTGAAACTACCAAAATTTTGATTGTGCATAAAGTATATTTAGACACAATGAAAAAAAAAATAAAAGAACAAAACCCCAAATTTACAAGTTAAATAATGTATTTCTAAGTAATTCATGGGTTAAAGACTGAGTCTCAAATATATGAAAAACAATACACAGAACCAAATTAAAATGAAATCTAATCGTTAAGATGAGAACTGTTAATGATGAAGAAACTTTAACAATCAAATCATGTATTAGAAAAGAGGAAAAGTGCTAAGGTCAAACCAGCAACCTAAATTACATCTCCCCACATTAGAAGAATCACAAAATAAATTCAGCACAAGTAGAGAGAGGAAAAGATAGATCTTAGTACAGAAATTAATGACGCTGAAATCTGGAAAGAGGTGGGTAAGTCAGTGAAACATAAAAAAATTAATCGAATTAACATACATCTACTAATAAGATAATATACAGCATCAGTACCATGGATGATTGATAGAATTTGTAGAGATAAAATTCACTGTTGTTTCCCTTAGTATCCTGTAACCTCAGATTCTGCACTAATAACTTAGAGGAAATGGGCAAATTCATCAAATAATACAAACTCTCCAACACATGAAATCAACGGTTCAAGTACCACAAAAACCATAAGCATCATTAAATTCACTATACAGAACCTCCTAGAAGGTTCTGTATCAATAATAGCTGTCTTCATTCCAGCATCCTGAAAGATATTGCAAGAATTGCAAATGGTGTACCTAGCCTCTTCTAGGATATTGGGGGAAGGAAGCTCCTCCCACTCAGGTTGCTAGAAATGATCTTACCTTGATGTGAAATATGAAACCAAATGCAAATGACTCTCATGTACTTAGTATAAAAATCCTCAGTAATATTACTACTCAGATCTATCAGTTTATTAGATAAAAAGAATCACACATCATCAACATATGGGGTTTATTCTAAATATGCAAATATTTTCATTATTTGAATTTCAATCAATTAGTCAATCAATCAGTCACTCCAGTCTGACATATGAAGAGCCTAAGGAGAAAATCATATCAATTGATTTAGAAAAGACATGATAAATATAGCACCTCTTATACAGGGTGGATTTTCCTTTCTTAATTACTGTCCATACCTCTTAATATGATTGTGTTTTGATACATGACCTTTAAAGGGTCCATTTAAGTTAAAATAGGGTGATTAGGATTATTTGAATCTAATATGGCCAATGTCCTTAGATGGACGAGCACCATGCTACAAGTACCCACAGGAGAAAGATGATGCTCAGAGGAGACTAAGAGAAGACAAAATGGGTGTTGATGAGGGAAAGGGGGAAGTCTTAGGAGACCATTACTGGTACATTCTTCTGAAACCAATTGCCTTCAAAATTTGGGAAAATTCCATGTCTTTATTCACGCCAACCAGCTCATATGAAATTATAGCAGTTTCAATGAGTTGCTATAGAATTAGTTCAAGTCAAAATTTCTCAGGAGGGTAACTTGTTCAGCTTAATATAAACTATGTATTAGAATACCACAAACTACTCTAGCTAGTGAGCAGAAAACAGCTTGTCCCTGGAACTGAAAACAAATCTCTCACCACTTTTATTCACTGTGGTTTTTGTTCTGGTGCATCCATACAGTACAGTATTATTCAGTGACAAAAATAAATAGGTGGGCAAGCCAAGGAAACAAACACCTTGAAAAATACCACACAGTGAAAGAACCACATCTGAAAAGGCTTCATGCTGTGTGATTTCAACTATTTGTCCTTGTGGAGAAGACAAAATTAGAGAGCAAATACAAAGATGGATGTTTGGCAGGGATTAGGAGGCAGGGAAGGATGAACAGGTAGAGTGTGGGTGCTCTGTAACAGGGTGCAGCCACAATGTGTGCTTTTAGAATGGTGGGTACTTGCATATATATATATATATATATATATATATATATATATATATATATATGGAAATACGAAGAGGTGAGAGTCCTACACTGCCCTTCAAAGTCACATCCCAGGGACCTGTGGCCCTCTCCTAGACCCCCTTTGTCAGAGCTTTCACCATTTCCACTGGAGAACCAAGAATTTGGGGGCATTAAACAACCAAACTGTGGCTATGTACAAACATTCTCACACAGGGTATAACAAATGCACATAATCTATACAGTATATTAACAATGGAGAGAACTGGAATCATAATGGAGAGAAAGAACCCTGCTGGTTTTTTCTTCCTATAACATAGCTGCTCAAAATGTTATTTTTAAAAAGGCCAATCTTAAAATGTTGCATTCGATATGGTTTGATTTCTTTCACTTTCTAGAAATAATAAAAGTGTAGGATTGGATAAGGGGATAAAACTGGTAAAATATGGAGAAGGGAGAAAAGATACTTCAATATGAATTTCCCTGTTAGAAAATAGTGTGGTAGCTAAGCATGGACAAGCATGGTAACACAAAGATGGGATCAGAGCAGATCACTATATGTTCTCTTGCAACTGCAGGAACTTAAAATTATTGCAATATTCAAAATTAATTTAAAGGCCTAAATTTATTGTTTATAGGAAGTTGTTATTATCCCTAAATTTTCCATATTACCTTCTTTTCTCTTTCAGTCTATTCATATTGATGCTACTTTATACACTGACAGTGACATTCATGTGAGTATAGTTAAATTTTTAACTGCTATTTTCCAGTTTTTCAGCCATATTCCCATAACTTCACTGAAATAGTTATAGTTTTAAAATCTAACTTACCATGGTTCTCATAGCATTTGAGCCCTGACATTTCTAAGGGATCATTAGATTTGTGGGAAGATACATAAATGCTACTTTTGTAATGGTGCCAAATCACAATGGAAAACAAATATGTTTCTATCAATGTCAAAAAAAAAAAAATCTCTCATCTGTTTCTGTGATGCAGTTAGATCATCATAGAATTAGAAGCCAGAATCATGTGAAATGATTTAATCCAAATGTCTCCACCATTACCCATTATTCCTAGTGGTTGTCTGTCACCATCTTCAATAATGTCTACTTGCTTGAGGGCATTCATGTGTTGTATTTTGCACAAATCACAACACTTATAAGAAATTCTTTCACGAGTCTTTGTGTGATAACAACATATTGCAAACAATGTACTAGAATTTCTAAATGACAAACTGGCTTCATTATAATCATGGTTGTAGGCATTTAGCCATTTGGTTACTTCTTTCACTCTCGATTGTTGCTAAAGCTGAGGGATAGATCTCCAATGCCACTGTTTGCAAAATGCGACCATTAATTCAGTTTAAATTGTTAATACTGTCACAATTTAAAATAGCCTAATAAGCATGTCAATGAGTTTTGCCTGAGGCTGTGTCTGCAGGGTATTTTTCTTAATCTGTATGACTGGTGGGAAGATTGACTCTGAATGTAGGCAGCACCACCTCACAGGCTGAACCCTGGACTGAGTGTAGAGAAGGCTAGATGGGCACTTCTGCAGTGTCTCGGCTACTTGGAACTGTGGATCTGAGCAGCTGTCTTAAGTCCTTCATGCCTTGCCTTCCCTGCTATGATGGACTGGAATTTAGAATTGTGAGCAAAAAAAGACACCCTCCCTCCCTGAAGTTACTCTTTGTCAGAATATTTTATCACAGTGACAATGACAGAAATGAACCTAGAACAAAAACCCAACTACCTGCTGCATGCTCAAAACTGTTAACTGCAACATTTTTGATGATTAGTAACTGTTATAAGGAGTATGTTCCCATTCTGGTTTGGCTGTCCCATGAGCGGGCACTGTTTGCTTTGATTTTTCCCTTGAGTTTCTTGGAATTCTTTTTGCTGGGAAGTGTAGGTATAGTATGACTGACAGTTATCACTCCTTCAAATGTGAACATATAATTTGACCCCCAATGTTTTCACAAATGCCAATCACTTCCAGACTGCGGTATTACCCAGAGTGGAAGAGGCATGCTCAGTAAGGGATAGTGGCCTTTGACGCCCATTTCCTTTTGTACAATAGTGCCATCCTTCTTCACTGTTGTTGGTTTTAGTTTTTATTTCAAAACCAAATGCTACAAAGGCCACTTCCTATATAAATAAAATACCCTAGGAATACACAGACAGAATACTATTTGCAGGAGTAAGCCTTTATTTAGCTTACAATTCCAAGTTATAGTCCTTAACTATCGGAAGTCGGGTCAGAAACTTAGAGCATCTAATTACCATATAAGAACAGAGACAGGAGAACTTGCTTGCTGGCTTCCTGTAGCTCTATTCACTGTTATACCACTCAGGACCTCCTGCCTAGGGAATGGTGCCACCGGCAGTTCTTTGGGTCTTCCTCCATGAATTAGCAATAAAGACAAGCCTTTAGGGACATGCCTACAGGTTAACCTGAGAGAAAATACTTCATTAACACTATCTTCCAAGTTGTGTCAAGTTGACAGTTAAAACTAAGTAGATATGGATATTACGTTTCTTTGTAAGATAACAAGATGAGATTGATTGCTTTTTGTAAATCAAAGTCTTATCAATGTGAAAATGAAGAATGAGTAATTTTCTTTTAAATGGACTCTTATTTTTAGCCTGGTTGCAAAGTTACTGCAATGAATTGCTTTCTGCTGGAATTACGGGTTATTTTACATGAGTACAGTAACACACGCCTTAATGAAACAATAAGAAACTTGATCTTCCTAGCAAACAGCAGTCTGTCTTCTAACAAGGTGAGTGATCTAACAGCTGTAGGGTGCTGCATCTGATGGTTTTGGCTTGCTTGGGGTAAAGCATGCATACATTAGCAGATTCTCCTATGGGGACCACAAGAAAGAATTTCATTCCATTGGAGTGTCATTCAAAAGTGGTACCAGAGTTGGTAACCACAGAATCCTAAGCTTATTGATTCCCTTTGCAAATAGGTATTTCTGAATAGTGTTAGCCAGTGTGCTTTAGCACAAGAGGCATATTGGAAAGGCAAGCAAGTGCATAGGTGCTCTGGATAGACATTAATATAACCAAGTGTTTAATATCAGAAATGGTAGCTCACATTTATTGGGTTAGTCCTTAGTGCTTGTTACACATTGCTCTTTATGTTTAGATTGATAAGGCACTAAGTTCTCAAAATCTGAGACTAATCTCTTTTCTTTTTTCACCTCTAGCTGTCCTTACTTCTGTTTGAATGTTGATGCGGTCAGAACACCCAGAGCTTATTGGGTAGCTAATGGCATGAGAGCTATGGTTCTACTTCAGCTTCTGTCTTCTCACCTTTCAAAAATTTAAGTAATGAAAATTATAATATTCAAAAGTGTTAATGAGTAAACTATTGTTTGAGACATCCCAGAGAGTATGAGCAGGAGAGGGTTATGAGATAGCACATACTAGTGATTCCTATGGTCAACAGAGGGATTAGCTGCACAAGTGCCCTGAAGTGCATGGAATTAATTGTGGCTCAAATACCACAACCATGGGGTGAAACAATGTATATACTAAGGAATTTCCTCATCAGAGGATGCACAGTAAGAATTTCACTTAACATGTACTTTGGCATGCTGGGTTAAAGCCCTTGTAGTCCTTGTTATAAAGGATGGAGGCAAGTGAATTAGTCAATCAGTGAATGAGTGAGACAGCCAGTTACTCCGTAAGCACAGTAGCAACAGAGGGCTCATTGTGTGTGGGGAAACTAGGATCCTGGTGTAGGGAAAGGTTAGCCATTAAGCTAGGATGTTACACAGAGGTCAGGGAATGAGTGTTTGTGATGCTCAAGGAGTGTCTTTAAGCAAAAACAACTGGGAGTGCAATGACCTGGAGATGCTTTGGCTTCTCCTCCCTTTTGTCTGCTCAGATGTCACCTTTTCATTGATGTCAACTATTTATGTTTGTCATGCTTTCCCCACATCATCATTCTCCATCCCTTTCTCTTCATGTCGCTCACACTCTGAAAATCTAGATTCAGTAGCAGAGATTACCTATTTGTCACCATTATAAAGTCAGCTTTAGAGCATAGACATTCTAGGGTTTTTAATTTTTGTTTTTGTTTTATTATGATTCCCAGAACATACACTTCTTACAGGTATTCATCACTCAGGATACTTACCACATGAATCTATTCATGGTTAAATTACTTCTGTGATATGTTATTGTCATTTATTAATGGTAAGAAAGTCAGCAAGTAACTGGTGACAGTATTGATGCTGAGCTTTAGGCTGCCTACTGGTTACAGTTTGTTTGTTACAGTTTGGCCTAAGTACTGGAAAAGTTAGCAGGGTTGGAGACCCATGGAGAATTTCAGTTTACTGTGCCAGTGGGGATGAGTCACTCAGGAGCGTTGCCTTCCCCTCTGGCATTGTTCTCAGGACCAAGTAGAGAGCAGGGTAAGCATTATGACAATGTCTGGCACACAGTGATATCTGATGAATACTCAGGGATTTGAATTCCAAGCATCTAATGGATGTGAAACCTAATTTTGGTTTTTTGCTGGCACAGTCTTCATAGTTCAGAAGATCTCAAAAACAAAATGTTTATTCATGGTTGCTGCACTTGTAATATTCTAGTTGTTCCTGAAGCTATGTTTATGACATTTGCCTAGTAGTTCAGATCAACCAATAACATTCAGGTCACTACTGTGTTCCAGGCCTTATGCTTAATGCTGAGGAAAAAAATATATGGTTACGGTTCCCAGGAATGATTAGACAACATTAGTGTAAAAATGTTAAAAGTCTATGAGATATATGTATGTATGTGTATGGCAAGTACTCTCTTGGTGACTTAAGGGTATGGCATTCCAGGCTATGGAAAGATGCAATAGTTAAAGCCATGTCACAGAGGCCATGGAACATTAGAGAATGATGGGTTTCAAGAGAGAAACAAATAATCCGTTGGTGGGCATTAAGCTGGAAGAACACAGTCTAACATGTATGGACTGTGTATCTGCAAAGATCTTAACACAATGTAGGTAAAACCAATCCCTATTAAATCTTTAACTCTTTCTCATAATTTTTCTTAACATGATATTAATTTGCCAATGTTGTCACGTCTGAAGACCCCATCATGTGTGTCAAATAATATAATAACCCCAACAAAGAAATGCATTCTAGTTCCCGATCTGATTCTTTCTTCATTGCAGAATATAACAGAATATGGCTGCAAGGAATGTGAAGACCTGGAGGAGAAAGACTTCAAAGAATTTTTGCAGAGTTTCATACACATCGTACAAATGTTCATCAACACTTCTTGACTGCAGTCAATCCTCTTCAGGGTTTCTATTATCACCATACCTCTGCCTGCTGTTCAGAGGCAGCACAGCTCTGTGGGTTTGAGATCTGCTGGGAAAACAGAGCTGCCTAAGCAGAATCCGATGAACTCTCTGAGATGACAGGATAAAAGGAGCTCTTCTCAGACTGGTTTTTAATTTATTACTGCACTTGTACATATTTGTAATATAACAGAAGATGTGGAATAAAGTTGTTCATATGTTTTATCAATTGAGCTTTAACTCCTACTTTATGCTATTTTGTGTCTAGCTGCATGTGATGCTTGTGTGTATACATGTTTGCCTGTGTGTGTGTGTGTGTGTAGTGCAGTGAGTGCATGTGCAAATGTGTGGTGGCTAGAGCTTGACCTTGGGTGGGAGTCTTACTCATTCTTTTCTACCTTGTTTGTTTTGTCTGTAAGGCTGTGTCTCTTCCACCTGGAACTCAGTAGTTCAGTCAGACTAACAGGTCTTCTGTCTTTACTCCCACAGAAGTGGGTGACAGGCACTTGCCACATCCCCATGTTTTACATGGGCGCTGATGATCTGAACCCAAACCGTCATGCTTGTGTGGCCAGCACTTTCCCCATCAAGGCATCCCCTCACTCTCTAATTTATCTGTTACAGAAAATTATGAGCTATTTGTTGGTTGGTTGGTTGGTTGGTTGGTGATTGTCCTTCAAGAGAAGTACCAAGGTACAAAGAAACTGATGTCTACATTTAGTGTTTCACTTTTCTCCAAATAGTGCTATTTAATTTTTACAAGTTTTAAAGCTAAAATTGTTGAATTTTTAAAAGGGCTTATTTTTGGACTTAATTTGTTTTGACAAAAATGCAGCTGTTCATGGGTACTGGGGAGATGGATCGGGGTAAGAATATTTCCTGAACAAGCATGGGGATGGGAATTTGCATCCCCAGCATCCTTGGGAAGTTGGTCACGACAGTGCCTATCCTACACTATGTAGAGGAACAGAATTACTGGGTCTTGCTGGACACCAGCTTAGCTTCAGGTTCAGTGCAGTGGCCTGTTAAGAGAATCTAAAGCCTCCTTGGCCCTACCACCTGTATGGGTGGTGCGTGAGAGAGCTGACCCTCCCCATTATCAGCTGCAGCACTAGGGAAATGGACTCCACACCTTGCCTGGGCAGCATAGTAGAGCTGCCCCTGGTGGCAGAGGCACTTGTGAGTTGGCCCTGAGGGTATAAGAGTGGGAGAGCTGGCCACAACCCTCTGGTCAGCCATGTGGGGGAGAGGGCAAGGAAATGATGCCTCCCCCTGCCCCTGCCACCTGAGGTGGGCAAGGGGACTGACCTTCTCTCTTACCAGCTGTAGCACTTGGGAAAGTGGATCCTGCACCTTGCCTGGGAAGCACAATAGAGCTGACCATATTGCCAGGGATGTGGGTGAACTGGCCCTGAGAATGTAGTCATGGAACACCCGACCCCACCCCTCACGTGCATATGGTAATGTGGACAAGGAGAGATGCCACACATGCACATACCCCTTGCTGCCTGTGATGGGTGGGAGAACTGGCTCTGAGGTATGAAGAGTATTACAGAGGGCTGCCCTTGCCTCTCACCAGCTGCAGCACTTGGGAAAGCGGCCCCTGTATCTTGCCTGGGCAACACAATAGAGTCCTGATGGTCCAGCTGTGGGAGAGTCAACTCTAAGGGTATGAAAGCAGAACTGGACCCCACTACTTGTTTATTGCAGCAAGGGGTGAACTAGCTAGGGCAATACTGGAGAGCCAACCCTGGTGGTGAGGAAAGTGGAAAGCTGGCAGGCTGACCAACCTTGCAACTACCTAGACCCAGAACCAGGGTTACGGGTTAACACCATCTATGACTTCCTGAAATGCTTGAATGGATTGATCCTATAGACCTAAAGTTTCAGGGTTTCTACAACATAGGGCAATAGGATAGCCAAGAGGAGTCCCAGTGAGGGCTCAGCATTGATAGTGTAGCAGAAACTAGAAGCCTTGACCAGACAAATGACTCTTTGCAATGAACACTTGCACCTAAAGAAAAGGGTTTATTATGTTATGCACTGTGTCACATTGTGGCTTTCATGACTAGAGTTTTCTGGTTTTTGTGGGGTTTTTTCTCTTAAATTTTATTTTATTTTGGGGGTTGTTACAATGGTAGACAGAGGATACAAAGGGGCAGGAAATAACTGGAATCAAGATTCATGATGTGAAAGACACAAAGAATAAATAAAAAGAAAGTTTAAAAACGAAAATAAAAAGAGAATATGGAGGGGAGTGATAGAGCAGGATATTCATGAACTAACATGCATTCAATACTCACATGCAACTTAAAAATAACTTAATACATTTTATAATTGTTACCTGTAATTTCATTATACAGTCTAAAATTATTAAGCTTGCTACCATTTCTATTGCTAACAAGTAGAAAAATATGTATCATTTTAAGCTTTTATTTTCCAATTGAAGAGAATTTGATCCTTCTCTAGTATTTGTCTGAAGAAAGGGAGATCAAAATGCCAGTCATACTTCTGATGGTATTTTATAGTGACTAACAACCCACTTGGATTGTATACGCAAATACAGGAGGGCTTTAAAATTTGGAATGCTCCAATACTCAAAGTTACTGCCTCTGATATGTTACAGGACACAGTTGGTTTTTAGAAAACTCAAGTCTATACTTCTTACATTGCTTTAAGTTGACACAAGATATGAAGTGTTCATATACATCCATTATCTAGATAACATCAAGTGATCATTCACCACCATCTACACTTAGCTTCTCATGTTCATGCTCTTGAAGTCATCCTTTACCTCTGTCTCACAGTCCACCCTTCCTACACTCTTCCATTTGCCATTCCTTGTTTACATCTCACCTACTTCCCTAATTGCTGAAAATATTTGTCATATATTCCCTATAGTGGTAGAAGTACAAAATCATTTATCTAATAGCAAGTGAACAAGGTAAGCCAAATAAAAATGAGATTGATAGACCAACATCCCATTGACAGATATGTTCTTGCCATTTTATTACTATTTCAAGTAAACAAAAGATGTATGAGAGGATATTATATGCACATTCTCTCTGGAAATAAAGTAAAAGGACTATGAGGTGGGGACATGGGAACAAAAACAAAACTAATAACTAATTTGTGAGCCAAGAGAATTTTATAACCCAATTACAAGTCTAATATTATATAATCTCATTCTTTATCTGGGATGAGTGAATCAATAGAATTACCTGCTTCTGCTGTTGTTGCTGTAGTGGTAAAGAGGGAATTACATGTTTTGATGTTGTAGTTTATGGCCATCAAATTTAATAACTTGTAAAATCAAACCAACATATGCAAAATGAAAATCAAGTAATGTAATTGTTTTCTCCTTTCTGTCCCCAAGCAACAGGAAATACTAGAGTGCATTCCTCTTTCTTCTCTTCTGTGGCTTCCTACCATGACTGAAGCCATCTGCACTCATAGGCAAATCACCCTCAACATATGCTTGCAATGGATAAATATTTTGCCCAGAGGAAATTCTATTTCCAAGGAGATTTGGTTGAATATTTCTGAATGTGTCTAGTGACTGAATTGTATTCTCCCTAAGGAGTATGTTATTTAAGGTGTTCAGTTTAGCTGTATGGAAAGTCCCTTGTTCCTAATTGTGCTTTACCTGACACAACACAGAAGAAAAAATGAATGAGAGACATGCTTTTGCCCTATAATTTACTTCTTCAGCCCTGAATTTCGAAACAGCAATTAAAGGAACCGAGGAGATGGTTTTAACATAGAAGTAAATTTGAAAACTGCTACATTTAGCCTTTGGAAATAATGTCAAATTCTTTGGTTAATGTCATGGAATGCAATACCCCTACCTAAATAATTTACCTTCTTTTTCATGATTACCTCTTTTCATCCTTGAATCCAGTTGCAGAGAGGGAGGAGTGATGAGCAAAGCGGTCAAGACAAGGCTGGAGAAACCCACAGAAACAGCTGACCTGACCAAGGGAAGATCATGGCCCCAGTCTGATAGCTGGGAAAGCAGCATAGGACCACGGATGTCAGTAGGAGGACTGGGCAGTCTATGGGGCCTCTGCAGTATATCAGTAATTATCCCTAGTATAGTAATGGACTTTGGGATCCCATTCCATGTAGAGGGATACTCTCAGCCTAGACACATAGGGAAGGGCCTAAGCCCTCCTCCAAACGATCTGGCAGACTTTGAAGACTACCCATGAAAGGCCTCACCCTCTCTGGGGAGCAGAAGGGATGGGACAAGGGTTGGTGGAGGGACAGAAGGTGAGGGGACTAGGATTGACATGTAAAACAAGCTTCAAATTTAAATAAAAATTATCAAAAAAACCTAAAATATCTGCCAGCCTTGACAAAAAAACACTAGTAAAATTAAAAAAAAAAATCACGTCAGTCATATGGGAACCTTAGTTATTGGTGATTTACTCTGTGTGAACCTTGAGACATAGGCTGTAAGAAAGACAGTGTTAGCCTTCAGGAGCTTTGCAACCAGGAGAAGTATCTCATTATCAAACCCATCATCTGAGATCTTATTTGGTCTCAGGCAGGTCTATGAAGGACATCAGGGAGGATCAAGTTCATTCAAAGAGAACCTCTTAGAGAAAAATGACAGGTAAACTGAGCTGTCAGAGAGTGGGGTCTGGGTTAGAGAAGTTGAAAGATTGACAGATAACACTTCAGTTAGCAAGGACAGAGATGTTCTTAGTGCAAAAGGAAATCCAGAATGGCTAGGATGGGGAAAGATGGAGAGGAAAGTGTGGTAATAGGAGTTAAATGGCTCTGTGGCTGCACTAATGACTGTTCTGTCTGTTCTAGAGAAAGAAGAGTCATTTTGTAACATAAAACAATTAGATGTATTATTCTTATTTTTAAAAACAGAATTAAAGTCAACGTCTTCTTACCGATAAATGTCAGATCCATAAAATTCATAGCTGTCTGTGAATACCATCTCTATCATTTAACAATTCCTTGAAACATGGAATGAACAGCAATATCAGCAAATAATTATACAATGTGACAGTCCTGTACCTGGCATGTGGGTCTTCCAAGCCACAGGGATATGTGTCTGTACAAATGAAGCACTGGACTCAACAGATTCAGAAAAGGTATGTGGAAAAGTCTTGGGACAAAGAAGGCCTGTGAAAGGAAGATTTTCTAAATTACACTTCACTGGAAACTATTTGGGATAAGGGAAGCTAATTATTCTCATCAAGATACACCAAGCAGA